AGCATGAGATGAGGCCCTCATTTATATCCACTTACCACTCTGGCAGATCATTCATTGTTCTCATCACAAATTGCAGCTGTTTTAAGTGATTAAAATTTCATATACAAAATCTGATAAAAAGAGAACCAAAAAGCTTTGGGGTGGGGGAGGATTACACACTACTTATTTACCTGAATATTTCAGATCTTATTTTTTTTTTAATCTTTGCTTTTATTTCTAGCTTGCATTATAATAGGCCAGCTGCTATCTTTGCACTTTCTAAGCAAGTATTATAGAATCCTAATGAAATTTTATAACTAAAAGAAATCTTAACTTTCCACTAACCCAAGCCTTCATTTTAGAATTTGTAGAAATAGTCCCAGAGAGGTCAAGGATCTTGACACACTCTTAATGGCAAAAATAGAACCAAAACCCACATCTCCTGACTTCGAGAATACTTTTTTCCTACCTCACAGAATTGCAGCTTAATTTGGACACGTGGGGGAGTTTATGAATACTCTTCCATGTCCACAAACAATAGGGCCTAAGAGTAAACTGCCATTATTTTATGTGGAAAGTACAGGGATTAAGTTGAGGTGATTATTTGGTTTTTAAGTAAAATCTTTCTATTTTCTTCTTTATTCTCCAATTGGTGCTCTAAGTCTTAGTTTGCAATGGCATGATACAGAAAGATTCTGATGAAGAGTTCAGTCCTCATAAACCAAGTCCACAACATTATTAATTAGTAAGAACATGTTATAGTCTAAGTTCCCTGTGGTTTATCAATGAGCACTTAGTCTATGGGAAGAAACATTTTTTAATAAAGTCCATGATGGAGGAATAGGAACAAGACAAGTGCACACATTTCCCTGGAGGATGGAGCTAATAAAAATAAAAAGAGGGAATCAATGTGTAATCTTGTATAGTTAAGCATATATGGCCTAAGGGCCAAATTTTATCATAGATCACATATGCATGTTTAATTACTGAGAATGCTTACAACTTGTTGTTGATGTAGCTCTTCTAATTAAGGATTCAAGCTAAGAGCTTTTAAATTAAAGAGGTTAAATTCCCATCTACTTAGCTTTTAATTAGTTTTGTTGCTATTATATTTATTAAAATCTAGGCATTCATCCACCTGTTTGCATAAGTACAAACTTCATTTTAAGATCCAATACAAATGCATAGTAAATTTGCTTTAAATTAATGTTAACAGCCACATTTAATTCCACATTTGTTCTTGAAATAATAAAGGAATTACTATGATTATACCATATTATCAAGCAAGTGCAAAAACTGTGATAGGAAAAAAGTGCCGTATTAAAAATAGATGTATAGAAAACTGTGAGAAAATGTTATCAGACCTGTTTGACCTAAATATAGGAAAACTAGAATTTCATTATAGTTGGGAATTATGCAGAAAGGAGAAAGATCAAGTTTATTTCTATAATATCAAAGAGTTGCTACTCTGTTAGGAAATAGAAGCCATACTTTGGGTAAAGTGTTGGACCACCCTAGAAGAACAAAACTTGACAGACGGGTTCCCTTATGGCAGCATCCATTGGGGGGAAGCAGACATGTTGGCCACTCACCCTGAGCATTCATTTCCTTTCACGAGTTCTCCCAGCTTAGTTAGAACCTGAGTCAGGAGGTGAACAATACCAGGGCCCTTGAAAGTGTCACTTCTGGCCAGGGGATGGGCAGGATGGAGGCTGTGGGCAGTCTCCCCTGAACACGCTTCGTTTTATAACCACTTTTAGCTTGTTCTGGGCGGGAAGGAAACATCAGCCTCTTGTTTCACTGAACAGTTTCTGGGGCTCTCCACCGTCCTCATTGCCTGGCACCTCAGCTTTTGGAACGCTTGCTGAGTCAGACCTCAGCTCCATCCCTGCGACTCCTAGGACTCCTAGATGCCCGCTTCCTTGAACTGACTTCCTGGCACAGCGTTCTTCACGCCCTCCACTCCTCCCCCGGCTCCCAGGCCAAAGTCCCAGGCTCAGTCCTGACTGGTAATAGACCTCCCCTCTCCTGAAAGGATGCTAACATAGCCCAAACATAAGAAAATCCAGGTACTCCAGAAAAATTAAGCAATTCTTATGGTCAAGGCTTGTACGCTAGACTGTCTCCTGAGAATTACAAAGGTCTCTAACAAGTTCCTGTACCAGTTATTTGCTGCATTTTAGAATACGGACAATAGATTGCCTTACGTTGTCCTTCTGTTGTGTTTTGGAACTTGGTGGGCCTCCAACAATAACTTTCCATGTCAGCCCTTACTGAGAAAGAGCAGAAAGTTAGCCCACCCCACCTGCTGTGTTCATTCAACAAGGGGGCATTGAAATAAAATTCTAAAAAACACAGCTAAAAATGAAACAAAGCACAGAATTCATTTCAACGATTAATACTTTGGTAAAATAATTTTTTTTTTAAAACACACACATACACACGTCAAACTCTTTTGCCTAAACGTGCAGGCGTTGGTGCATGTTGAGGGCTGGGGCTCCAGAAGGACTGCCAGGAGATCCCTCCATGTCACGGTCTCCTGCCATCCCCACCTGGCTCTTCCAGTTTAAAAGGGAGGCTCCACCAAAATGGCCAGAATGACTTGGAGATACTTTTAATTTCCCTCAAGGTTAGAAAGTGATACTTCTTTAAGAAACTACAGTTTAATTTGGACTTCCTAAAAGTCAGATTGGCTTTCTTCCCATTTACCCAGAAGGACCATAGAATCAAACAGATGATCTAATCCAGCCACCTCATTTTACAAGTAAACATAGAACCTGAGAAGTTAATGACACAGCCAGGGCTTAGCAGGTCACTGCCTCCCAGACCAGCATTTCCCTCCATAACGTGCTAACCAGAAGTAAATTCTTATAGGCAAATTTTTTTCATTTATTTAAAATGTTTGAAAATTAAACAAGAAATACATGACTCATTATATAATTCTTAGTTCAGAAGTATAAAGTGAACTCTACAAACAAGTGCTGGCTAATCCACTCTCCCTTCCAGAGGTCAGCCCTCAGGATCCTCTCCAATCTTTCTCTGCAGTTTCAAACAAATGCTTAACAACTTGGGATTTAAGATCAAGTGATCTAAGGAATGTTTCTTTGGCCATCTTGGCGTTAACTTTGGGCAGAGGCAGGGGTTTCTGAGATCCTTATTTGTCTCCTCATAAGTCTGAATCAAATATTAATGGTTAATATTTAACAGCATTTCACCAGCCTCATTATATACCATCAAGCTCTATCATATTCTAAATTTTAGAGATGGATTCCAATATGCAATATTCTGCTTTTCTTTTGGGAAATGGAGCTTCTGTTTTTAAGTCACCAACTAAGGTCCACATACTATGAGGGAAGACTATGAGTGGCCCCCAAAATCCAAATGGATTTTGTGACACTGTTTCTTGGCTCCCCCTCTCCACAGAGGCACGCAATGTCGGCCAACTCATTAAACAGTACAATGACTGAAATTTCTTTTGAGAACCAAAATTTTTAAACTTAAACTTCTTCAAAATAGACTCGCCCAGGCCGTGGTATTTTGTGGAAGAGCCACACTCAAGGGGCCCAAGAGCCGCATGTGGCTGGCAACCCGCAGTTTGCCAACCACACGTCTGGAGAATGTGCATATGTGATTCCTCTTGCTCAAAAGAATAGAGAAGGAAGGTGTGGTAACCCTTACTGTTCCCCTGACCGGCTTCCTCACCTCTCCTGTCTTTCCCGCTAGCAGCGAAGCTGATGAGCTGCAGCGGGACAAGAACTTAGCTTTTGTGTGGTCACTTCCTTGCCTGCCTTCCCTCCCATCCAGCTGTCCCTTCTGGTTGTGCTCTTACTTATTTCTGACTATGCTTGGAAGCAAGTTGCGTGAAACCCAGATTTTCTGTATCGCCAACATCAGGGAGGCGAGCTGGCCAAGCAGTGTCTTGATGAACTAGACAAGAGAGGACATAGAGAAAGCACCCTGGCCGAGGAGCGCCAGGCCTGGCTCGGGTCCCAGCCCTGGTGTCTTCAGCTGTTTGACCGTGAGGCAGTCACTTCGCCTCTCCTTCACTCACATTGCTGAAATGAGGGAGTGAACAGAGATGTTCGCTGAGATTTCTTCCAGGAAATCGGGTCCACTCTTGTCTGAGGATTAGAAAATGACTGAAGGTCATGCAGTCTGTGAAACCGTCACGTTCATGGTCACGTTTCTGTTTGTGCAGCAGCCCTTCTGCTGTGCCTGCTAGCACGTGAACACGTGGGCTGTCCCCTCGCACTCACATGCAATAAGAAGTGGCTTCTTCATTTTCTGAGAGGCGATAAGCCACAGGTGCTATTTATTTCCCTGGAGGACTCTATACATGAAATGTGGGTTTATTAAATTTATCAAATGCAATAAGAGAAAATCTGCCACCTGATGCTGAGAGAGCATTCCGGCGCCAGGTCAGAGTACTGCGCGTGCTCGTGGGAATCAGGCCGAACAGGAACGTCCTTTGGTTTGGCTTGATTCATCGTGGGCCAGCAACGGGTTTGCACCTGCAGGGATCAGATTGTCAGGTCAGATGGTAACGCTGATCCTCGAATTGTGCGTTGATTTGCAAACATTCTCCTGAACTAGCAATTATAAAAGGAAGGGTGACAGTTTTCCAGATACCTAATTATGCATAGCAGGAACCCAAATATTTGTCTCATAACATCACTGACGATCACTGAATTCAAGGAAGGACATTTTCTTCCATTGAAATTGCCATCATAGAACCTGTCTGGGAGCATAGGATCAATTTCAAGGAATCCCAGGCCCTGCCATTCCATGACTGGGGGTGGGGGGCTATTTCTTAGGGAAGCTGGGGATACTGTTGGCTCCTCAACTCCCCCCTGGAGACAAAAAGAATACACATGCTCGGGAGGCCTTATGAGTCTCCTTTCTGAAAGAGGTTTGAGGTTTAACAAAGAACAAAGTCTAAGCACCAAAAAGAAGGATTTCTAATGGTAGAACTCGGGATTCCGGCTAGAGAAGGGCAACTCTGGGGGCTGGAGACATGGAAGCCCTTTGGGCCTGAGCCACGCTGGGTGCCACACCTGATGCATTGCTAGTGAAGTCCTGGCCTTCCGAAGCCTTTGCAGAAACCCAAAGGGCAGGTGTTAGTCTGTAGATGATTTTGTTTACTATGAATTCCCAATTTCAAATATACTTCCCTCCCCACCAGAAATGTATCACTTTTGGAAATGAAATTTTAGGAAAATTCTGCCTCCTTTGCATCTGCAGGTTTCAAACAAAATCACTTCCTTGACATACACACATGTTTCTGCTGTGATTCAGAGAAGGTGCCTGGAAGAAGTCCTGGGAGGTGACCCTGCCTCACCAACCATGGGCAGAACCAGGCCACCCAATGTAATCCACCCCAAATCTTCTCAGTCCTCGTCTGAACCCTCTAACCCACACTGCACTGCTCTTCCTGATCAGTAGTTATTGCTGAGAAAAGCGTTGTTGTAAGTGATGTGAATGTCTCCAATGGACCCGTCCCTGTCCTCCATGACCCAGTGGTCCTTTCAGCTCGCCCCCCAGAATTCTTGCTCCATGTCCCAAAGAAATGCAGGTACCCTTGTTCTTTTCAGGAAAACACAAAACATCAATTGATATCTTAGCCCTGATACTTCACCCTCTTCTGTCTCAGAATAAAGAGGCCTCTCCATGTCATTTCACACAAGCTTGTTACAGTCCCCCAATGTCCTAGGTAGGCAACTCTGTGCTACATTCTGTCGCCCATAATTGTCCTTCCATCTAATTGGGGGAAAGGTTACTCCAGTGAACCAGCCATTGACTCCTTGGCCTATTCACTCTTTTATCAGTATTCCTTTACTAGTCTATTCTTTGTTATCTAGGTCCTGAAATTGATTTCATTGCTTTTGCTTTAATTTTTGCTTACAAAGTTTCTTCTTTTGTCTTAAAGCGCACTGTGATCTTATTTTCATCTGAGTATTTTATAACAAAACGGTTCCCTCGGCCTGGCCTGCACCCTCTCACAATCCAGGACCCCTTGGGGGATGTCGGAGAGCTGGTTTCGGTCCGATCCCCACAGGCCCAGCTGGGGGACCCATTCTTGCACCGGGCCTCTAGTATGCATATAAGATCTTTGGTTAATCTATTTCCGTCCTCTCCTCTCCCCCCTTCCCTCTGAGATCCATCAGTCTGTTCCATGTTTCCATGCCTGTAGTTTCCGCCCCTGTGTTGAGCATCTGCCTCCTTGTGGTCAGTGCGCATCATAGCTACTGGACAGTCAGCTGGTCAGCTAGTCACTTAAGCTGTTATATATATATATAGATGAGAACATAACAGAACACCCTAAAATAAAGTCAGACAGGGATTTCCTCAAAGTCAAAACTAAATGCTGGGAGAAGCAGATCGTACTTACACACACACACACACACACACACACACAAAACCTGGGATGGAGGAGGCTGGATCTTGTAATTCTACTAGTACAGTGGTCAGCAAAACAGAGCCAAATAACAACAGTACAACGATTGAAAATTTTTTTGAGAGCCAAATTTTTTAAGCTTAAATTTCTTCTAATGCCACTTCTTCAAAATAGATTCGCCCAGGCCGTGGTATTTTGTGGAAGAGCCACACTCAAGAGGCCAAAGAGCCACATGTGGCTCTCGAGCTGCAGTTTGACAACCACGGAACTAGTATAGTTGGGTTCCTGCTGCACTCTGGGCACTGGGCTAGGCGCTGTGGCTACAGAAACAAGTAAGACAGGGTCCTGGCCCTCAGAGATGCTCATATTCATAAAAACTGATTCAAAGCCAGCAACACCACCTAAATGCTGTTGGAAGTTCTGCAGCTTATTTCTACAGCTGTCTATGGGATCTTTCCCTCCTTGGAAAATATGTTCTAAAGCCTGTTTTCTTGGTCTGTCAAAATTCCATGCCGTCTTTAATCATCGTAGAGCTACGTGTAACCTTCAGGGACCGTCTTCGAAGGGAAAGGCAGAGGACTCTGTTTTAATGGCTTGAAAAGAATTGGAAAGAGTTTAGGGAAAGATGACAAGCTTCCAAAGCATTCCTATCTGCTAGTGTTCCTTCAGACGTGGGGTTAGGAAGAGGGAAGGGCCTTTAGCACGGGAGAGCCAGGAGACCCCGTGGAAGAGTTAGTGAGGCGTGACTGGCTTATAGGCATGTGTAAGCATGTCTGCTGAGCAGAAGTGGAGGAGGAGGTGGAAGGCAGGGAATTGTGGTGGAAGCAGGTTCCAGAAAACAAGCTTGAGCTGGCTCATCTCCTGACTCATCTGGCCCAGCCTCCTGCCTCCACACACATCCTGTCTGCAATGCGTCTGGCCACCTGCTTTCTCAGCTCTTGAGAGACGGCAGTTCTGTAGGCCCCTGTGGTCTGTTCCAGAGCCAGCCCCTTCTCCCTTTGAAGTGCTTGTTTCCAAAGAGTGGCGGCAGGAGAGATGGGGTCAAGAAGCCGTGTGACAGAGGGAAGACAAGAAGCGCAAATCAGGACAGAGGACCTGGTGACAAGGAATGGTGACTTTCTCCACACTCCAAAGCCCCTGGGGAACACTGGCAGGTGGAGCCCTCACTGCCCGGAACCCCGCCCTCCCAGGTGCCCCACCTGGCACAGTAGAGGTGCCTGTGCTGCTCTGAGAAACGGTGGGAATCTACACCTGCACTGCCTTTCAAGAGGAACTGAGTTTATTTCAAAAGTCTGTAACTCTCACCCTGACTGGTCTGGCTCAGTGAATAGAGCATTAGCCTGTGGACTGAAGGGTCCTAGGTTCGATTCCCGTCAAGGGCATGTACCTCCGTTGGCCTGTACATCCCCAGTAGGGGGGCTGTGTAGGAGGCAGCTGATCGATGTCTCTCTCTCATCGATGTTTCTAACTCTCTATCCCTCTCCCTTCCTCTCTGTAAAAAAAAAAAAAAAAAAATCAATAAAATATATTAAAAAATAAAAGTCTGTAACTCCCAGTGCCCCTCCCATTTTTTTAGGAATGTCTGTAAGGGAAGGGGTGCTTTCAGTTCCCCAGTATGTCTCGTCCACATGAACAAAGATTCAAGTCAGGTTGCCCTGTCTTACTCCATTCAGACTTCTCCATCTGCCCCCACCCTCTCACACTCCTAGAAGCAAGCCACAAAGCCTGTCTAACCAAAACCATCATCCCAACGCCCAAGCACTCTTGTTCTGTTCTCAAGCCATGGTGCATGTGGTGTGATTTGGCAGGGGCGTCAGGAGGAAGAGCTGAGTGGGATGGCTGCAGTAAGAGCAGAGGCAGCTGCTGGTGCGGGAGCCCTTCATAGTCCCATTGTCACCACTCTCCACACTAGGGGGCCTCACATGCCAAACGGGGTCCCCCTCTCCCCATTCCCTGGGGTTCCTGGAGGTAACCCAGGCTTTAGGCCTCCCTCTAGACCACACGTGTCAAACACAAGGCCCGTGGGCCAAATCCGTCCTGCCAGGCCTTGCAATGTGGCCCGCACCGCGCTGTCATCACTGCACTCCGCTGCGTTTCCATCACAATGACAGTTTATGACTGTTCAGTAAACCATTCGGCCCGCGATTTAGGCTGGATTTTAGATTTTGGCCCCTTCTCTGATTGAGTTCGACACCCCTACTCTAGACCATGAATGTCATGCCTTCCCCCATGTCTCCTCCCAGTCCCGGCCACACTGAAGTCCCTAACTCCTTTTCAGTCTGTGGAAGAACAAAGTCCTTCCCTATTGGGGTCCTGGGAGTGGTTTGGACTGAAACGGCTGCAGTGGGACAGACATAAGAAGTCCCGGCTGCCCCAACGCCTGCCTCTGGGCTCTGAGTTAAGAACAGGGAGGCCAGTCCCCGGAGACTGAGGATAGAGCACATGATGTGTTGAGCTTCTCCCACCTCCGGGACCTGACTTTAAAATAGCACCTCTGAGTTCCAGGTGACTACAGGCTCCTGGCAGCCGGTGCTCTCTCCCTGTGACTCCCCGCGTGCCTAGCAAACTGGTCTCATGCCAGGAGGCGTGGTGCAAATATGAACCGGTGCAGGGAGGGGCTTACCGTCTGCCCGCACTGAGACGATGCTGGGGGCCCCAGCTCTGTGACCTGGTGGCTCTGTGCAGCTGTCAGAACATGAGTGTAGCCGAAACCGGTTTGGCTCAGTGGATAGAGCATCGGCCTGTGGACTGAAAGGTCCCAGGTTCGATTCCAGTCAAGGGCATGTACCTTGATTGCGGGCACATCCCCAGTGGAGGGTGTGCAAGAGGCAGCTGATCAATGACTCTCTCTCATCGATGTTTCTAACTTTCTATTCCTCTCTCTTCCTCTCTGTAAAAAAATCAATAAAATATATTAAAAAAAAAAAGAAAGAAAGAAAGAAAAAGAACATGAGTGTATGGTGTATGCGATGAATTCTCTTAGGAAGGGTTCTGTGCGTTTTTAAATAATTCTTACCATGTGAAGGTTGTATTTCATTTTAATAAAAGAAATTGTTTTTTTCATTTTACTTTTTCAACAGTGGAGGTTTTTTTCTAGATTTTCATTTTATGGCCAAGTATACTTTTGTAAGGAATGGTTGAAGTCATGAGTATTTTTATTCTTTTAAAACTATAGTTCATGTCAACTATAAACGCTGATAAATATTATTCATGTGCCATTTTCCTCCCTTGCCATTTGGCCTTTCTAAGAAACTGTGTTTTGGCATAAGCTTTTTATTTAAAACGTCATTTTACATGTTGTGAATACTGAAGATTCTAAAAAATAAAGATGCATTTAAAACCTCTGTGCTGTTCCATTGTAGACACGGTAATGCGCTTTGCTTTGCCAAAGTGGTAATTAAATGTTTAATGGTTTGGAACTCCGAGCTCAGAATGGAGGCTCCCGTCATCACTCGCAGCGAGGGAGCTTCCTCGCGGGCCCACTTTTGGGGAGAATTCACATTAGAATGGCCATCTCCTGTTCAGCCAGGAAATATGGTTATGTCGACGGTGTAGTGACTGTGCTGTGCTTTTGCAGTAAATGTGTATTGAAAGCACTTGTGCTAGCGTGGTCCACTTTTTGTTTTTAACCAAAGTCCAAGCGGCAGGAGAAGTGAAGACAATGCTCCCTGAGTGTGTGGGCGGTGAAACGTGGTGGGAAAAAACATGAGCTTGGGAGCAGGACAGGCTGGGCCGAACCCTGCCCCTCAACCAGCGGGCCCCGGGACTTGGGAACTCCTTCAACTCTTTTGGAGATCCTGTGTTCTCATCCTTTAAAAATACATAATTAAAGCCCTGGCTGGTGTTGCTCAGTGGTTTGAGCATCATCTCGTGCACAGAAAGGTTGCTGGTTTGATTCCTTGTCAGAATACATCCCAAGATTTTGGGTCTGTCCCTGGTCTGAGTGTGTGTGGGAGGCAACAGTTGACATTTCTCTCTCTCCCTCTCTTTCTGAAGGCCAATAAAATGTAATTTTAAAAATACATAATCAAAATAAAGGAGGGGGAAAATCATGCTTCCCTCCCATGAGTTTTGTAATGACAGCATAAAGTGAGGAACATGGAGCACCTGGCACATTGGAACTGTTGAAGTCAGGAGTATTTTTATTCTTTTATATTCTTCTTTTTATCCCTGGTATTATTTGCCTTCCCCACTTCCTTCCCTCTTGTTTCTCTCCCAAAGTCATTTTTTATTTTTTCAAATATTCAAGTTAAAATGTATTGGCCTCTGAGTAAGAAGATAGAGATGAGATATTTACAGACTTAATGCTGCTTCTAATTTTTCATGGGAGTTAATTCCAAAAACTGTTGCTCACAGCTGGACTGAAAGAGCATCTGGGGAGTGAGGTGATGTTGTTTATGTAAGTAGACAGCACCCTAAGCCTACTGGAGACCCAGTGGGATTTGCCCTGTGGAATTTGAAACAAAAGAACAAGCAGCTAGAGCTATTGAAGTGGGTCCAGATCCATTGCTAAAACCTGGGGGCACTGCCTTTCCTAGTTTCAAAGCAAGCTCATCCCCGAGCGAGTGGCCGGGAGCCCGTCCTGGAAACACATGGCGTCGTGAACGTCCTCTAACCTTGGGGAGGAAAGTTTTTCTTAATCTTCCCGGATTAGTTTCCGAACTGTCCTGTTCTCCTCTTACAGGTTCCAAAGTCCTCATTTTTAAAAACACAGGAAAATATAATGCTTTCTTTATGTCTCCTTGTGAACAGTGTTAATATAGAATAGCTCATCACTGCATTTTTGTTTTATAGCTTTAACATTATGTCGTGAACATTTTCCCATGACAAGGGATACTTTTATAATGTAAGGTTTTTAATTTTATTGTTGGACATTAAGGTTGTTTCTGAGGAGATGTAGTATTCTGGGGAAATACATCGTTTGATATTTACCTTTGTCCTAGTTTCTCAATATTTTCCTATGAAAGATACCTAGAAGAAGAATTATTTGGTTCAGGTATGAAGACTTTTAGCTCCTGACACATATCCTCATATTAATTTAATTAGAGGCCTGGTGCACCAAATTTGTGCACTGGGGGGGAGGGGGAGGGGGTCCCCTCCGTCTGGCCTGCTCCCTCTTGCAGTCCAGGACCACTCAGGAGATGTCCGCCAACCAGTTTAGGCCTGATCCCTGGGGAAATCCCTGATCCCTAAGCCAGCAGTCAGACATCCCTCTCATAGTCCCAGACCCCTCTCTCCTTACTGCTCCTTACCACCCACCTCCAATAGAGGCAGGAGAGGCTCTCACCACCACCACTTCGCTGGCCAGCCATGAGCCCGGCTTCTGGCTGAGTGGTGCTCCCCCTGTGGGAGCACGCTGACCACCAGGGGGCAGCTCCTCTTTTGAGCATCTGTTCCCTGGTGGTCAGAGCGAGTCATGGCAACCGGTGGTTCCGCTGGTCCTCCTGCTGTTCAGTTGATTTGCATATTAAGGTCTTATTATATAGGATTATTTATCCAGCCTCAATGGAAAAACTGTTTCTTCTCCATACTCAGTATAGGCATACCATGGAGATATCCAGTTCCAGACTCTGCAATAAAGTGAGTATCACAATAAAGTGAGTCACATGAATTTTTAGGTTTCCTAGTGTATGCAAAAGTTTAAAATATACTGCCGAAACCGGTTTGGCTCAGTGGTAGAGCGTCGGTCTGCGGACTGAAAGGTCCCAGGTTTGATTCTGGTCAGGGGCATGTACGTTGGTTGTGGGCACATCCCCAGTAGGGGATGTGCAAGAGGCAGCTGGTAGATGTTTCTCTCTCATCGATGTTTCTAGTTCTCTATCTTTCTCCCTTCCTCTCTGTAAATAAATCAATAAAATATATTTTTTTAAAAAGTTTAAAATATACTATAGTTTATTAAATGTGTGACAAGATTATCTAAAAATGTACATAACTTAATTTTAAAATACTTTTTTTGTAAAAAAATTATGCTGACTGTCAGCTGAGCCTTCAATGCGTTGGAATCTTTCTGCTGGTGGAAGATCTTGCCTTTAATTTGTAAAAAAAAACAAAACAAACAAACAAAAAAACAGTAAAATGAGGCAGGCCTGTTCTCACTTCTGACACCAAATGTGTGGGGTTTTCCCACACAAAGCAATTCTCCGGTTCTCAACAGACGCCAACAACCTAACTCAATTCTGACACTGACTGCCAGAGTTAGGGAGGCCTCCAGGTTAAGGCCTCGGCCCCACAGGATGACCCTTCCCCACTACGTCAGGCGCCCATTGCAAGCCAAGTTGTCACCTGTGTATCTGACCAATGAAAGGCTATATATAAATCAGGGGTTCTCAGGAGCCTGTCCTCAGGCCTGATAATTCGCTAGGATGGCTCCCAGAACTCAGGAAAACACTTTATGTACTAGGTCACAAGTTTATGATAAAAAGATACAACCAGCTGAGACCAGTTTGGCTCAGTGGATAGAGCGTCGGTTTGATTTCGGTCAGGGGCATGTATGTTGGTTGCGGGCACATGCCCAGTGGGGGGTGTGCAAGAGGCAGCTGGTCGACGTTTCTCTCTCTGTCCCTCTCAATTCCTCTCTGTGTAAAATCAATAAAATATATATTTTTTTAAAAAGATACAACCAGGCATGGCCAGGTGGAGGAGATGGACATGGGGGGAGGGGCAGGAGCCTCAGTGCCCTCCAGGCACATCACCCTCTGGGCACCTCTATATGTTCACCAAAGGCTCAGGCCCCAACACCTTCAGTTAGGGTTTTTATAGGGGTTCATTAGCAACGATTGATTAAATCATTGACTGTTAGGGATTAGCTCAACCTCCGGTCCCTCTGCCCCGCCTGGGAGATTTCAGAGTGGGACTGAAGTTCGGTCTAAACCCTGTGGTTGATTCCTTTGACAACCAGCCCCCGTACTGCGGCTGTGCCCCCATTTGTCTCAGGAGCATCCAAAAAGACACGGCACTTAGGAGACTCGCCTGGCTTTAGGATCTGTGTGCCAGAGTGGAGGCAGAGACCAAATGGCTACTTCTTATTGTGTCACACGCCCCGTTAGGTCTATCAGCAAATGAGTTTGTCTCAGAGATGCTGCTCTGGTGGGAAAGTGACCAGGAAGGGTGACAGGAGGGCAAGCCACACTGGCCTCTTTCCCCTCCCTGTTCTTTTCTTCTCATAAATCGCACACCCTTGGCATGTATGGCCCTTGCTTCAACCCTTTAGTTCTCTCTTACTTAAAACACTGGATCTGCTGATCATTAAGGTCCCATTCAATTCTGAATTCCAGTAAGTAAGAGGCCAGAAGAGGCAGTAAAGAAAGGATAGAGGGGAGAAGAGAAATTCTCCAGTTTGGATAAATGGAGATAAATGGAAAACCCTGTAGAGGAGTCTTTAGTTTTCCACCAGTGGTGTCTTGCAGAGCTGTTTCATGCATAATTTACCGGACTGGTATCTTTCGTCCCCAAAGGAAGCTAGGACATATTTTGGAATTTTGTCAACGAAGCAATTTTTGTGAAGCTCAAGACTGTATTTTCCATATTTACTTTGACATACCGGTAACTTAGATTGCTGAGACAAACCTGAACCCCCACGCTTAGCTCAGAAACAAGGATAACAACTTCGGGTGCTTGCTGGGCGCCTGATACTGTTCTAAGCACTTTCCATGCTTTAGCCCTCACAGCTAACCTGGAGTACATTCTATTATTAGCTCCATTTTGCATAAGAAGAACCAATTGCCCAAGGTCAAATCGCTGGTGAGCGGGTGCTGGGTCAGAGCCCAGGCTGTGAAGATGCAGATCTCAACTCCAATCAGAAGGCAGCAGGTTCTGGAAAACTTTCTCTCTCTCTCTCTCTCTCTCTCTCTCTCTCTCTCTCTCTCTCTCTCTCTCTCACACACACACACACACACACACACACACACACACACACACACGAAGGTTTTTTTAAGATCACTGCCAGCCTTTGTTTCAGGCTCTGTTCTATAAAATTTACTCTTCACAGCAGTCCTGCCAGGGTGTCACTGCTCCCACCTCCCATCGCCCAGCCAGGAAATGGTGGGTCTGGGTCTAGAATGTAAAGGTTCCAGCCAGGAAATGGTGGGTCTGGGTCTAGAATGCAAAGGTCCTGGCTCATCCTTCTGCATCCGGGGCTTTCAGATCAGGGTATGTGAGTGCAGGAGGGTCACAGGGTGCTGGATTTAAGGAAACCAAGTGCGGCCTTTCCCAAAATCCATCTGAGATGGCTCCTGCCGACCTGAGGTGAGGGCTGGGTTCTACTTTTCCTACTTACCATTTCATATTTGTCCCTTTTCTGCTTTATAAGTGATAAGCGTTTCTCTCACACTGAGCATGGTTACTATGGAGTTCTGGGATGTGAAAACTTCCCACTGCCCCATAAAAGGGGAGGAATTGGGACAATTCCACAATGCCTCCTAAGTTAGTTATTATAGGGCTTTGTAACTATCCCTTTCTTATACATATGTCTGTGACAGAAAGCATGGCATTACAAATCTCAGAATTCAGATGTAGTACGGAGTGGGGGAGCAGGAGGGATGGCAACTTTTGTTCAATAACCTCACCCTTTCTTTCCCCCAACTATTGTCCAAGATCATGAAACTCCTAAGGAACAGTCCAAGAAAGCAAAGCAAGTGAGAGATGATGACGGTGGCAGGACCTTATCTCCCCCAGGTGACACCCGCGTCTGGGCTGCGGGCCTTGTCTCACTGTATCTGTTAGAATCTTCAAGGTTGGAATAAAGCCCGCTGCGTGAGAAGGCCATCCCCTCGGCCCCTCCACACGTCCAGCCCGGAGGAAGTGCTCTGAGAGGGCTGTCTCTCAGCCAGGCCCGGCCTGCCTCCCGGGGAAGCCTGGAGAGACTTTCAAAGTCCAGGAGGAAAGAAGCCCCCTACTCACTTCAGCCAGATGAATAGTACATCTTCAAGCAAAGGAAACACTGTAAGAGCTAAGTTATGTATTTTATATTTTCTTGGACACTTATTCACATTTTTAACAGCTTTATTAAGATATAATTGCCTAACATATTTAAAGTGTACAATATACGCTTTGATACATGTACAAACCCATGAAACCATCACTACCGTCAACTATGTGGACATATCGACTGCCCCCTCTCTCCTGTCATTATACCCCATCCTAGGCCAATAATGACCAGCCTTTTGCCACTATAGATTAGTTGTCATTTTCTAGAATTGTATATAAATGAACAGTACAGTACAGTATGTACCCTTTCTTTTTGGCTTCTTAGTGTGATTATTTTTATATTTATTCAAGTTGCTGTGTGTATCAATAGTTTGTTCCTTTTTATTGCTGAATAGTAGTCCATTGAATGGATATACCTCAATTTTTATCCATTCACCTGATGAGGGGCTATGTCTAGTTTTTGGCTTTGCAAATAAAACCTCTATTTTTTTTTTTTTCTTTGTGTGGACATATGCTTTCTTTTTTCTTTAGTAAATACCTAGGAGTGGAATGACTGGATCATGTACTGTAGTAAATACATGCTTACCTATTTAAGAAATGGCCAGGCCATTTTCTGAAGTGTTGTTCTGTAAATAATGCACTTATATTCAGCATTAATACTTGTTTTCTAAGTCCTAAGATGGACTCTTTCTCTATTGTTAATCTTTCTCATTTTAATAATAAGCAATGCTTATTCTAAACCACTGTTGCTAAAATTTATTTTACATTTAATATTAGTTAAAATTCAAGTGTCTCTGAAATGTTTGATGTTAATAATAATTATGACTCTCAATTCCAAATACTTGATTAACTTAGATCTTACATCATAAGAAGTTTTTAAAAATTTACATTATAATTCATATACACATTTTAGTTGCAGAAAAGTATGATAGTGTGAATATTAAGAGACTTTTGAGCTTAAAAATATATTACATTGGGGTAAAAGGAACAATGTGAATTTCCAATTGTTAAAGAACTCTTCCTAGCCGAAACCGGTTTGGCTCAGTGGATAGAGCTGCGGATTGAAAGGTCCCAGGTTCAAGTCCGGTCAAGGGCATGTACCTTGGTTGCAGGCACATCCCCAATAGGGGGTGTGCAAGAGGCAGCTGATTGATGATTCTCTCTCATTGATGTTTCTAAATCTCTATCCCTCTCTCTTCCTCTCTGTAAGAAATCAATAAAATATATTTAAAATAAATAAATAAATAAATAAATAAATAAATAAATAAAGTGTATTGACTTTAAAAAAACAAACTCTTCCTGTATTTTTTTTAAATGCCGTGCTTTTTAAGTTATATTAGTTACATTTAAAAGAACAACTTTATTTTTAAACTAGAGGACTGGTGCATGAAATTCGTGTACTCGGGGTGGTTCCTTCAGCCTGGCCTGTGCCCTTTTGCAGTCTGGGAGGCTCCTGCCATCACCACTGTGCTCACCAGCCTTGAGCCCAGCTCAGGGCTTCTAGTTGTGTGAAGCTCCTCCTGTGGGAGCGCACTGAGTGTCTGCATTGAGTGTCTGCCCCCTGGTGGTCAGTGTGCTTCATAGCCACTGGTCATTCCACCATTCAGTCAATTTACATATTAGCCTTTTATTATATAGGATGCCAGTATTTAGAATGTGCCAGAAATTACATCCTTTGTAGCTCTTTAAAGTATGATGAAATATTCTAGATGTCAATGTAAAAATCTGAAGATGTAACTAAGTTTATCAAAATTCTTTCAGAAAGTTTGTAGGAAAAGAAAAGATAATGATGATCACTGCTCTACCCTTCAGGATAGCAGGTGCATATGAGTTGCTGGCTGGGTGCTGGCGTGCCTCTCGGAGGAGGGAGAGAAGATGTTCAGGGAACTGAATTTACCTTGCACATCGACTGCTTCTGGATGTGGTCAGGCAGGCAAACATGACTAGTCAGACTCCTCTTTTCTCTGCAAGAAAATTGTAAAAGTAAAGACCATGAGCCAGGCCAGTCTTAGACCTTGTGGGTGGAGAATCTCCTTGGCCGGATACTGAATGGAGGAAGAAGGTGGACCAGGAGAATGAGTTCTGAGCTGCACCCGTGGTTGTCCGTGAGATAGTCTGCTCCATGGTCACAGGAATCACAGTTACCTCAGCCATCCCAGCAAGGCAAGATGTGTGGAGCCAAGAGAGGGCATTGCCACCCTCCCCTCACCTCTCTCAGTCAGCCCATTCTCCCTCTGTGGGGTCTCTGTGTGTCTGCTCCATTCTTCTATTGCTATTGGCCAATCTTATTTTTATTCTTCATCCCAAATCCCACAGAGTTCCAATCTGATTGGCTTAGCTGATTTTCCTCTGGGCTTCTGAGTCCTTCGTGCCAGGCCATCCCGTGGCAGGTGGAGCCAATCAACTACCAACATTGCTTGTCTGATGGGAGGAGGCCTGGCATGAGGCTAGGGCTGCTTCAGAGCTTTGAGAACAATAGACTTGATAGGACTAGGACTGATGCATTTCTTTGGGTGTCATTCTGTGGGGTTGAGATGGAAGCCTGGTTCTCTCCATGCTTGCTTATCCCAATCTCCTGCCACAAATCAAGTTAAAATAATGCCTTTATATTGCTATTTAGGGACCAGGGTCCTATGCAGACATTAAAATTAAAATCAAGAAAACACAGGAACCTTCTAAGTACAAAAAGATGCCCCAAGCAGCCAGAGACCCATTTCTTGTGCAGATGAAAGTGCTCATCTTAGAGGGTCAGGAGGAAGCCATGGAGGAATTTGAGAGAACCCCAGGCCTTTGCTTAATTCCTGAAACATGAAAAGGGGTGGAAGAAGGAAATGTCAAGTGAAGACATTTAAAAGGATAACTTTATTTTTAAACTAGAGGCCCGGTGCATGAAATTCATGCGCTCAGGAGGGTTCCTTCAGCCTGGCCTGTGCCTTATTAAAGTCTAGGAGGCTCCTGCCACTACCTAAAATGTCAGTTTCTTCTGATAAAGTCCCAGAATCACTTCTTTTAGGTTAGGCCTGGAAAGCCTAATTATTTTAATGCAAAGAAATTCTATGAAGCAGGAATCTGCTTATCCAGCTACTATTTTAGAGAACAGGGTCCTAGGACGGACAGAGTTTGATGGTGAAAGAACAGGTGTGGCAGGATCCGTAAGGGGGTCTGACCAGGTGCCTGAGGAACCAGGGCCATGCGGGGAAGGAAGGAACTCCTTGGAGGTAGAGGGACAATGAAATCACCTTGACTAAACTCTCTGTAAAGTTGTTTAACATTTGTTGACTCACAAAGACTATCATGAATTATTCTCTCACCATGTTCTTTTAACTCTCAACCTTTTCCCATATTTATTTACTATTTTAAACTGCTTACTTGTGCTTGAAAATGCAATTAGCCGTTTCACCATCATCATTAATGTGGCATTTTACTCTTACAATACTAAATATACATATATAGTATTTTAACATATGACGCATAAGGAGATTTCTATTTCAAGGTCTGGGTACACATTTATAGCAAGAATCATCTATTAACAATAAATCTAAGTGGCGTGCCCTGTGCAAACCACTAGAGTTGATGTGCTGATTCGATACAATGGTAACCTATATAATCATGCCTGTAGACCAGGCACAAGCTCTGGAGTTCTATAAATGATGACAAAGTACACACTCAGCGATTTAGACTTCTCGAAGTTGAGAGTGGAGGCCAATTCACAGATTTGGGGTTGAATATCAAGGTCAAAGCCAGACGTCGGTGCATTTTATGTACATTCACATAAACATACAAATACGTTTGTTTGTCCACCTCTATCTGCCTCAGGGAAGGGGAATCTGGGGCACAAGAACCAAGAGCGGGAGACTCACTTGTCACTGGATATCTTTTTTGGACTGTTTGATTTTTTTTAACCCCATGCATGTATTCTTTCTAAACACCCACTATGCTCATTAAAGAAATGTATTTAAAAATATATTGAAGGAAGTTGTACACTTACGTTCAAGGAGAGAAATGCTATTGGTTGAGCAGGAATTTGGTGCTACCTGGTTACACCAAGGAGAGCTGTGTGGCAGGGCCTATTTAAAGCCTGCATTCTTGGGAATCTTGCAAAGGAGATTTATTGGGGGGAGGGACGTGACCCTTATGTCTGAGAATGGCCAATGCTGGGCACAGCTGATTAGGAATGCCCCAAGTGCTGCGGGGATCCTGTGTCCCCTCAGCCTGGGAGACTAGGGGAAATGTTTTTGGAAGGACCTCATGGATAGAGATGAATTTTCCAATGACTTTGAAAGTTAGGAGCCTGACCCTGAGGCTGAGCACAGTCAACACAGACGTGGAATTAGCTGCCCAGCCCTCAGGCACTGAGGGAGGGAGTGCCCTGTTGGCAGCTTAGGATGAGGACCAAGCTTTGCCAGGAGACCTCCCCAGGCTGGCCTGCAGGTTCTCCAGGAGTTCCGGGGTCAACTTAGTGGTGCAGCTGAGGCCAGAGTCACCTGGGCAGAGGCCCAGGGCCATGGACACCCGAGCCATTTGACCGCAGAGTCATATTGAAGACTATCCCTGGGGACCCAATCAGGCCTTAGCAACTCGGGACTCTGGACCCTTGTGTGGTATTAATGGCGATGTCCCCTTCTCTAATGAAGCTCCCCTGTGAGAATGTTGCAAGTCGGGGAGACAGCACTCGTCTGGATGGCTCTCTGAGGAAGACATTTCCCCGGGCTCCTGTGTGAGGACAGTGGGGACCAGGGCTGGGGCAACACTAGAGTGCTTGGCTAGTAAAACATCCCAAGGGGGAGAGGGGGGGAAACACCTTATATAAGATTTGTTTCCAAAGCCCTGGGAATCACAGAATTTGTCAGGGACTGTAGGCCCTACCTACCATTACATAGGCCAGAAAACGGAAACCCAGAGAAGGGAAGAGATTGCTGAGGTCACACATCTGGTGAGAGGTAAAGCCAGAGACTCTGGGCTCTTGACATTCTGTCCCACATCTGTTTTCCCACAGAATGAGCACCCAGAATGGGCCCTTTTGGGAGAGCTGCCTGCCTGTTTTGGGCTGTCAAAACAAGTCTGGGGCAATATCCTCTGTCCCCAGATCGCATGAACCAAGTCTGACTAAATTTTAATTTTGCACATAGAGAGCTGAACTGTGCTGTGTGACTTTGGAAGTAGGACTCGGAAGCCAGCATCGAGTCAGAGAAGACCTGGCCCTCATACAGGTGTACCGCCTCCTGTCAGCGGCCCCTCCCTGGCCTTGTGGGGAGCTGATCTCTTTGCATCACCAATGCGCTCCTACTCTTGGATGCTTGTGGGGTCCATTTGACCTGCTCAGGGACCAGGCTTGTGATCAAGGGTGCCCTGTACTCTGGGTTGGAATAACCACTGTGCCAGTCTCTGCCAGCCGAGAGAGGAGCCCTGGGTTTTGTTTCTCATCTAAAGCTCACTTGTCCTGTAGGTAGAAGGGGCCCAGCTGTATTTCCTTCTCCCAGAGACATGAACCTCTC